CATTCAAACACATCAGACCCTGGACAGGTTTCTGTTTGCATAGTTCAGATTTGCTTTGTTATTTTTAATAACAATAATTTCATTAATTTAATATATTAACTTCTATGCTGCACAACTTGTGTGAAAGATTGCACGTGCTGTGTATGATGTTGAGGAGGCTACAGCCTTTGCTGTTGAAATCATACTCGAACACAAGGTAGACATTTCCCCTCTGGTTATGTTTCACGGGGGCGCATACTCATTTGCACTGTCTCCTTTCTCCACTCATGATTTAAATGCTTGTTCTGCAGATGATCAAACAACACACTCGGGTTTCACTCATTAAATTTCTTCAACTTTTAGCGGTTCATCATCCTTCAAAGAGGTAAAGACCATCTTCTTTGAATGAAACTTTCCGTACTCAATCCAGTAATTGCTCCGTTCATCTACTCTAGATTATTTGTATTAGGTGCCGGAAGGGAAGTGCAGAAGTGCTTGTGAACTTTGATGATTTATGCCCACCAGATATGTGGTCACCTGACAAACAGGAAGAAGTCAGTAATGGCAAGGGCATGCTAGGGAATTTCCAGATTTGTGGGAAAGAAGTTCCTCGAGGATATTGGGTAGGTACTTTTCTCTTTTGATAATATTAAGCATTAGCCTACCATAGCCAATTTAGGACTGAAGTGTAGAGTAATCAAATTGAACTATTTAGGCATGTTTTGACGTGAACTGACAGTGGTAGCGTGTATATAGTTTTGGCTGATGTATTTTGATATTTTGGATTGTGTTTAAATGTATATAGTTTTTGCGGATGCATTATGATGTCAAATCTACAATTACGTTTCATGGGGGTGCATACTCATCTGCATTAATGAGTTTGGAAATGGTATCATGTCAGTTAATTTCAGTGAGATAGCTGACAATTTTTGAACTAGGACTTGCTCTGTTAAATCACCGTATTTTTTTAAATTATTGTCTATGTTAGTGCTTTGTTTGGGCTGTTTTTTTCTTCCTCTAGCCATCGCTTCAAGTAAGTGAAACGTGGGGGAACATAGTATCATTTTATTCATTGTTTTCAATATTGAGGACTGCGTCATTACATTTCTGTAGCTTTTCAGTAATTTTAGTGTTTGCAAGGCACTCATTCATCTATACGATAAGAGCTAGATAAGAGCTAACCAAGTTTGTAAATTTTCAAAAAATCCATTCTAATGCAGTTTCCATCATTTAGTTTTTGTGTAGTCCTTGTAGTTTTAGAATTTTTTTTTTTTTTTTGAGAAACTGAAGATTTGTTTGTGAGATCAAACAATGATGTATGCCTAAATTTTGTTGACGATATTTGTTACTGCCCTTTCTTCCTATGGTTAGCTTATACCATTTTGTGCCATATGTTTAACCATGTCTTATTTCTTGTTACTTTGCAAATTGCTAGATTGATTTTTAAATGGCCTTGTGTGTTCTTTCTCAGATGTTTTGCCGTGGCAGCAAGAATGATACCAGGGGCTTCAGGTAACAAGCTATTCTCCTTCATTCAATTATTTACAGGACTAATACTTTGTTTAGAATGTTTTAAGTTTTGATATAGCAATTTATCCGGTTATCCATACACTTGAGACAGCGAGTTCATGTGTAATAGTGCTACTTTACTTGATATGGCAAGCCGCATCCAACCTAAGCCTAACCTACTATTTTGTTAGTCTTGTATCTGTTCCTGTTCGATTATTCCTCATAGTGAGTTCTTCAGCTTGCTTGGAAAGGCTATGTATATTAATAAATGTGAATCATATATTGTCATGTTCTGAGGCCAATCATCTCCATTGTACCATCACTTGTTAGTTGTTATGGCCGAAATGGAGGAGCGATCCGCTGCTTCAGTTTTCTGAACATTTTCCAAGATCATAGGCAAAAAATTGCAGATTTGCCATCAGATGCAAGAATCATTCCCTTCTACTGATAGCATTAGCTCGCTCTCACCTCTGAAATAGCAAATTTAAAGTGCATGGCAGTTTAATTCTTTGGATCGGAAAAGAGCATAAATTGCTTTTACTTTTTGGGTGCCATTAAACTTGTATCTGTTCCTGTTCGATTATTTTGTTAGTCTTGTATCTCTTTTACTTTTTGGGTGCCATTAAACTTGTATCTGTTCCTGTTCGATTATTTTGTTAGTCTTGTATCTGTTCCTGTTCGATTATTCCTCATAGTGAGTTCTTCAGCTTGCTTGGAAAGGCTATGTATATTAATAAATGTGAATCATATATTGTCATGTTCTGAGGCCAATCATCTCCATTGTACCATCACTTGTTAGTTGTTATGGCCGAAATGGAGGAGCGATCCGCTGCTTCAGTTTTCTGAACATTTTCCAAGATCATAGGCAAAAAATTGCAGATTTGCCATCAGATGCAAGAATCATTCCCTTCTACTGATAGCATTAGCTCGCTCTCACCTCTGAAATAGCAAATTTAAAGTGCATGGCAGTTTAATTCTTTGGATCGGAAAAGAGCATAAATTGCTTTTACTTTTTGGGTGCCATTAAACTTGCGTATGAGTGTGGATGGCTTCTATTAACATGTTTATGAGATGGTTTTTAGTATTTGTTGCTGCTTGAGGCTTATCTTCTCTTACAAAAGAAGGCATATCTGTTGTCAGTAATATAAAACTCAGCATCTTAAGTAGTGTTTTCTCATACCATGGAAACCAAACCCCTGTTCTTGTGGAACAAACTATAACTGTTATAAAATTCCGCTACAGTTGAATTGTTTAACGAATTACCTTCCTTGATTCATTATTTTGTTTCTTCATTTGCAGCTGTGGTTTATGGGTTCTACTGCATTCACTCTCTGTGAGGATTGAGGATGGAGAGAGCCAGTTTGCATTCAGAGCTGTATGTGATTTTATCCACAACTTCTTTATTTGCGAGGATTGTCGTCAACATTTTTATCAAATGTGTTCAAGGTAAAAACAACTCAGAATAAGTTAGCTTTAGGTTCTCAAGCTCCTTCCAACTTATATAGGCTGTTCCAATTTGCAGCGTCACCGTCCCTTTCAACACATCCCGTGACTTTGCCCTTTGGTTGTGGAGTACCCATAATAAAGTCAACAAGAGATTAATGAAAAAGGAAGCTTCTCTAGGAACCGGTGACCCCAAGTTCCCAAAGGTTATTTGGCCTCCAAAACAGCTCTGCTCTTTATGTTACCTCTCTCATAACCGGAGAGAAAATGCAACCAGCCAAATAGATTGGGACATGAATGAAGTATACAAGTTCTTGACTGGTTATTATGGCAAAACACTTACATCTTTGTACAAGGAGAAGGTTCGTCTTGGGGATGAAGTGACTGATGGGGCTATTGTAGATCTGGTGGCCTCAACAAATGCAGTTGTGGTTCCTGTGGGGGCTGCGTTGGCAATCGCTCTTGCTAGCTGTGCATTTGGAGCACTTGCTTGCTGCTGGCGTTCACGGCAAAAGACCCGGAAGTATTACCACCAACTACACTCTTTAAAGAACATTTGATATTAGCGGGGACGATAAGTTTTTTCAAATTTGATAAAAAGTATTAAACCGAAGTTTAAAATGTTCAGGTGAATTTTCTTATTTGTTTTCCTTCCCCAATATTTCAGGCCAAGGAGAAGCTGGAGCTAAGATAGTTAAAAGGACAAAACTATACACGGTCATTAAGGTGCCCAGTTGGGTTCAATCAGGCTCTGAATAGGTATCCAGATTACAATCTCACTGACCTGCTTTGAGGTCCTACTCTGTACCATATTTTGAAAATTTCCTTCTGAGCACGCTTTTGGATTGTACAGATTAATATTATAATTTCAGTCTTACAAGCGATCATTATCTCCCTCTTTTTTTGTTTTTTTTGTTTTTTCTTTTTATCTCACTTTAGAAAACTGCAATGATCCACGGTTTAGGATATTTTTTTCTCCTGAGGAAAAGGATGGATCTTACTAAGAAATTGAATCTGCTGTTTTAAAAGGGTATGACCGATCCCTTTCATCCACTGGATTTTACATCTGGCATGGGAGATTAGTTCAGTGTCAAGTTTTTGAACACAAGCACGATGTGTTAGCTCAGAGTCTGCGTTTGCTGGTGTGAAAATCTTTTCTATCGAACTTAATTTTTTTCCCTGCAAATTATATGGTTGAATTATATTTCTTTACAGTGGATTAGGCCTCTTCTATCCTCGGGACTCTGATTGTTACTAGTTTAGCTGATGTAAAACTTTGTCTCAAGTCATGCGCTATTATCGCAAAGAGATTGGATATCAAATTCTAGTCGCTACGTATAGAAAGAGAGGCTTGCCCTCCTTAGGTAAGCCAAAAATAATGGAAAAGAAAAAACGGATTTTAGAGTTACAAGAGGAAGAGGAAAGCAAAAATAACAGATTAAGAGAACGAACTAGTTTTTATTTCTAGCGGCAATTTAAGACGTCTAAGGATCTTTCCCATTCAATTTAAATCCTTGCATTGTGCTTCGCGTGCCTGGAATAATCATATACTATTGGCATAATTATAGACATTCTTCACTGAAACTTGGGCTCCATCATCACATGTAAGGTCCCTTGTTATCATGATTATTTCAGGCACGCGAAGCATAATGCAAGGATTTAAGTTCTTTGCTTGCTCCTTTTATAAAAGGTTGGAAGAAACCACCCAAGATTAGTGACATGGGGGGTCTTTGTCCAGTTATGTGGGCTTCTCAATCCTCATCTTATAAAATCATCATGATTTTTAGTGAAGAGCATAACCAACTGCAGAAGTTCTTTCCTAAGACAGAATTGCAGGAAAAAATGGGTGTCCACAATTCGGACTGCTCCAGTTTGGGAAGCTTTCAAGTCCCCCAAGAACAAGTAATTCGGTTTTCCCTGTTACAGATATGAATCCAGAGATTCCGCAATCAAACTGAACGCAAATAACAGAACCAATTGATATTTCAAGTAGAAGTGCTATGTCAGCTTCTTCTTCTTCTTCTTCTCGTTTAGACGTAAATGCTAAACTACTAGAAAACCAAACGGCAAGCCTTCAAACATGAGCAAGTATATTTTAGTTGTTGATAATTTGACTACTAATTTCTTCATATATATGTTTGTATATACAGTGGAACTTATTTGACTGTACAGAGTATTTAAATGATGGAGCAGCAACGAAAATGCATATCTAAGAATCTAAATCACAGTTGTTTTCCAGGGAACCATTGTTTATCTCCCTGACAACAATAAGACTTTCTTTCAGAATCCAGAACCCATTGAACTTTTCCCAGTGAGAAAGCACCTTGGAAATTTGATCTTTCTTTTTTTTACAGTTGACAATCAAACTATCTCCATCTATCTTGAAACAAAATAGTAACTTGACGCTTGATGGAGTCTAATGAACATTTATTATATGTGGCCGAGGCTGCAGGGTTGAATGCTCAGCATCTTCATCATATGAATGAATTGATGAATTTGGAGGCGCCTAATGATCAACAACGCAGTCAAAAAATAGGAAAACCAAACTTGATGAGCATTGAGTCTATAGTCAGCTCAACATCTTGTCTTAAATGTAGAAAAGAAGCAAAGGGTTGTATCCAGTAGCCAGAACTCACCTGATGGAGGCGGCGACGCTGGAGAGCAGTTAGTGCTTTTAACATGACATAGATTGGAAGAATGATCCCAGCAATTCTTAGAAATATCAACTGTCAAACAGAGCAAGAAAGTGTAAGCCTGTGCTTTGCACACATGATTTTCATCAATGTTTTTTCCAAATAAAATAGTAATCCAACTTGTTTTACCATAAACACTGGGAATGAGATATTGTTGGTTCCATTAAGAATGAGAGGAAGAGTGTGCCTTAGAATTAAAAGAACCATGAACTGCAAAAGAACAAGAAGAGTAATCAGATTGTAGAACACCATGACGCAACAAGATTTCTATTAAAAAAAAATTTAAGAACATTGTCTGATAAAATAGAAACATGTACTTCTGAGAAATGAATGCCCATAACATGTTGTATCTCTTTCATATGTCAAAGTTCGCCGGGAAAATATCCTCTATAATTTGATCAAAGAAAGTAGAGAGACTTACAATCACAGCAATCAAGCGACAGAAGATCGTGTTTCTTGCAGTTGAAGCTGAATACTCATAATAGTCAGTATTCAGGAAGTTATGTTCAGATGAGACCACTGCTATGAAGCGAGGACCATTTAACTCCCTTCTAGACGTCTCCCAATTTCCCCTGATAAAAATGTTGGAGCACATTGTTGAGGTTCTAGTGAAATGGAAAAACAATTAGATTAATGTCATACGAAAACCAACAAGCACTCCAGATTACCTAAAGTTCATTGGAAACCCAATTTGGAACAGGGGTGGTGGTGCTGTATAACCAGGCTTGAACTCCTGAAACCAATCCAATTTATTATCATTAAAATTATGGTTCAATTTGTTGATGGCAAAGACTAGACCCTCTTGTAAACTACGAAGATTCCCTACAGCCAAAGAATAGTAACTAGATTGAAGCTATATGAAAGAACGCAACACACCTGGAGGCATATCTCACAGATAGTGTTACCCTTCTCATTACACCACCTCTGTATACACCTACGATGAGCATACTGCAATATGAAGAACCAGTCAGACATGGCACGCTACAAGTGATCACTACTGAAGGCCAAGTCAAATGACTTTAAAAGAGACATGTTAAACTGGAACAGTTGGCAAAAATCATATATAGACCGATGCATCCTCTATCTATATGACATTATGATATTGCAAGCTGGTTTAATGACAAGACAAACATCAACTCAACTTTTTATATTTAGTATACTGATCTTTGTTTACTGGAAACAGGAAAACACCTTCAAGTTTTCTTGACGGCTAAACAGTAAGGGGGGGAAAGAAGCAAGGTGACAACATATGGGAGGAATACGATCAAATTACTATATCAACCCCACCTAGAATACGCCAACAATCAAATCCCTGGGGGTAGATTATTTAGGTATACTTTTCAACTATAAACAAGAAAACTGACGTCACCTGGCCCAAGTTAGGCACGTCTCAGTATGTTTTTCAACACCAAACATGCAAATTCAGATCAACCAACCCAACTTAAGAACTTTCATCAACATTGATGCTTGACTGCCTCGGCTATAAGCTATCTACCAAACTTTCCATTTTCCTCCAGGAAAATAAGGAGGGTGTCAATGTTGATGGGATGGCATGTCTATAATGATCATGATATTGACTGTTTTTGTGGCTTGATGTTGCATCAAATAAGATGTGACCTGCTGTAAATGCCAGTTAAGCACGAGCAATGATAAGGGTTTTTCAGACACATCTCACCATTACCAGAAGCCTATATGAATCAAATTATCAGTAAACCAAATAACCAAACAGTCCACTTACACGAGGAAGGAAAATATTTGGTTTGGTTTTTTGGGATGAGAGAAGGTAAACCTTCTGGTGGATAATTATCTCCCTAAAAGGCGAAACAATTATCCAGAAAGGCCTAAGCGCCAAGTTTCAAACTTAATGACTTCCACTCCGAACTAGTTGTAAACTCACCTTGAATTCCAAAGTCGATAAAAAAAAGTAACAAAAATATATTTAGCAGTTAACTAGCACTCGTTCTCATGTGCATCCAAAGAACATATAATTCTCCAAAATAACTAATATGAATGATTTTTTTTTGGATTGATAAAAAAATAAAAGCTTAACCAACCTTCAAACTACCACAACAAGAACATGGTGTCTCCATATTAGAATCTTCATCCTCATCCTGGCATATCCTGCACTCCACCAATTTCCTCGGAGTTGATATATCCCCAAAATCCAGTTTCTGGAAAGATTTATCAATTTTTGAGTCAGACGCTGTGGCTTGCATCGACAGGTTTCTGCTCTCAATTGCAGCTTCTAAGGTGGATTCAGTTATCAAACGATTCACCAGCAATACAAAGTGATCCCCCATCCTCCAATTCTCAAAAAAAGCCAACAATTGATGAAATCTCAATCAGTGTTCAGGAACTCCAAACCCAAAACCAAGCTGTTGTTCTCCACTATAGTCCCCTTGAAATAAAAAATCACTGTAGTTGGAATAAAACAAGGAAAAATTTAAGATAAGTACTATAACAAAAACAACCAAAAAAAGGTTACAGAAAAAGAGGATGCAAACATAAAGAAGGAAGGAAAGGGGGCCGAGAGCGAGAGACAACTTCGTGGAGTAAGGCTTTAACAAAACTGGCAAACAAATAGGATCACGCAAAGAGACCAATAATAACAAGAAATGGCAAAGACCCAGTTGAGGAAAATGCAACTATAAGCATTAAAAACGCACAAAAACAAAACACAAAAAAAAGAAAGAAGAAGAGAAAAGAAGAGAAACCCACAAAGGAAAAGCGGAAAGACAAAAGAGCAAAAGAAAGAACCCTCTCAGATGCAACAAAAAGGACAGAAATTTACCAATTCAAGGACTAAAAGGAATAAGCATCAGCAGAAGAAAAGGTGATGGAACGGAAAAGACGACAGAAAAGTTAAGTGTTTAGGAAAGGAGAAACTTGCGTACAAGAAGGGGATCGTGATTTCTTGAAGCTAAGAATAGGTCTTACAATGAAGCAAGAGATTGAGTGAAGGGAGTAGAAAATTTAAAGAGAGAATCCATTCAATCTTACTGTACATTAAAAAAGCTCCTTCCTTTCAGCAGACAAGGAAGACCACCTGCCTCTTTTCTTGCAGTCCCGGGCGGGTGACTTTTTTTGTTTATATTTTAACATGTTCATGACTCTGGTATTTATAGAGGGCACCATCTAAGGTCCATTAAGTTCAGTGAATTACAATATATGCAGATGTAACTAGTTTAAGTACTTTCTGACTAGTAAAAAGAGATTCCTCTTTTTTTATTTTTCTGTTTTTTCCTTCAGCAATCGATAAAGCTATCCAGCCTTCGATTATTTTTAAAGAGTACGCCTACATTTTAGATTTTGAAATGTACAGAACTATTTTGTGGTTGTTTTCGTAAGTAATATCACATTAAAATATGAGTATTTGGGATGGGATGTAAATTTTCAATATTCATTTTCTGAAATTGTCATGAACTTTCTTGTTTTACATCTAGCTATCTTTATTTATAATATCTTAATGATCTAAAATTAACTTAATTTGATGGAAAGAGTCCCTGTTTTATGCTGGGAAGTGAAGGGTTTGAGTCAAAAGGACAAATAACTCATCTCTAAATCCCATTCCATCTCTAGATTTTATCTTTTTATATATAACGTAAGTGTAAAATAGGTTATATTATTATCTGATAAATGATTAGGATTTACGTTTACTAATTTTTTTTACCAATAAGAAAATCTTGATATTTCTCAAAATTATAAAATTTAGCTTCAATCCAGAGCATAGATAATGGTTGGATAGATTAATCAGTTAATTCAAAATGATATTAATTTAATTTAAAAAAATAACATTGTTTTTAATGAAAATTTTAAAAACCAAATTAGATTTTAACTAGTAATATATTGACTAGATAAGTTAATCATATTATATTAATCAAATCTAATTTAATTTAATTTAAAATCTAACCTAAATCTAAAGTTTAATGGATAGATCATAAATTTAAATTGTAATGTCATGTTAAATTACATTAATATTTTTGAAGGTTTTTGTTTTTATACAGAATAAAAGTATGGAAATTAAAAGGTTGTTTGAAAACATGTTTGGAATGATGTTTTTAAAAAAATTAAAAATATTTTTACATAATTTTTAAAAATTATTTTAATCAAAATATTTTTTAAAAAATAATAACTATAATATTCCGTCATAGTCGAATAAGAAGAAAAAGAAAAGTAAGAGAGAAAGATTACAGCGTTGAAGCCCAGGACCGCCTTGATGATTCTCTCTACAGGAATCTACCTTTGACTTTTTAAACCGTTTTTGCCGTTAACATAACGACACGGCCCCACGAGATATTCAAATTCTCCTCCTCTGACATCTTCCTCACTTATGGGGTTATTTTGCTTTGCTTGTTTATTTATTTGTTTATTTTCTCGAGCTCCTTTTTTTTTTTTTTTTTTCATTTGTAGCTTTAGATGGTGCGAGTGAGTTTAGCCGTTGATCGTGAAAATTTAATGTAATATAAAAAATAAAGTGTAAATGTGCATTGAAATTATAATGGTAGCAACCAGCTGTTGAGTCCATACCAAAAAAAGTATTGAAAGGCAGCGTCCGATGGTTTTTCTCTTTAAATTTGAGTTTGTTTGCTAGCTAAAGTTTTAGATAAATTTAAAGTAATGGTATTTAATTATAAAAAAAAATAAAAATAGAATGCCATGCAATCCTCCTGTGTTATTTTTGGCAGCGCCATTGAAAGGCATATTAATAAATTCAAGGTATGCTGCTCCATGTCCAAAACGATGAAATTAATGCCGTATGAAACGAAACAAGACGTATAATACCTCATTCTTTGAATTCCTTTCAACCCAATATTCATTAATCACAAGCTATTCAACTTGGGTTTCTGAGGCCTAGTTGTCCATGTTAGACCATTGACTTGCCGCTGCTTTTGACCCTCTAGCAGCTTCCCCTGTTGCGCGTTTGAATTGTATTCGATAATTTCTCGTGATATATCGTGGATATATCATATTAATTTTTTATTGGAAGTAAAAAAAAAATGGATATATCATATTAATTTTTTATTGGAAATAAATAAAAAAATAGTTATTATTATTTTTTTATATTAAAATTGATATGATATAATATGATTAATTTTACAAGTTTAAATACCATTTAAATTACTAGTAAAAATATAATTTAATAAAAATAAATTAAGATTTTTTTAAAAAAAATATTAAGATAATAACATGTTGGATATATTTAAATTTATTTTAAAAGTTTTTCGGATCAACTCATGCTAACCTAACAAATCTTTAATTCAGGTCATGCTTTGCATAAAATAAATAATAAAAAATTATTAAATTCAACTCTTAATTAATTCAATACTAAATAATAAAATTAAAAATAAAAATTAATTAAAAAAATAAGTCGAGTTAACCTTGATTGGCCTGCTAAATCGGTGTCATGAGATCGACATAATAGCACGGTGTCATGAGATCGACATAGTAGCATAAAAATAAAATTAAAATAAACTATAAAGTTTAACTCTCAATCAATTCAATGTTAAAGGATAAAATTGAAATAAAAATAAAAATAAAAAAGAACAAGAAAAAACTACCTAAGTTAACTGATCAAACTCGTGACCCGAGTTGTAAGGTTGGGATAACCTCGTAAAAAGTAAATCAAAATAAATTATAACATTTAATCCTTATTCAACCCAATATTAAATAATAAAATTAAACAAATCAATAAATTAAAAAATACAAAAAACTCGGGGAAACCAAGCTAACCCACGACTTATATCATGAGATCATGATAACCATGTAGAAAGCAAATTAATCTTTTTAAGCACAATTCTTAATCAAACAAATATTGAATGATTAAATTAAAAAGAAAATCAAATAAAAAAATATTACAAGTTAACTCTAGTTAAACTGTCAAACTTGGATTATGAGATTAGAATAACTTTATAGAAAGAAAATAAAAATCAAATTATAAAATCAAATTCCAAAACAATCTAATATTAAAAAATAAAATTAAAAAAAATAATCAATTAAAAAAGAACAAAAAACTAGAGCTAAGCTAGTTTACTAGCCAAACTCATTATCCGAATTATAAGATCACGATAAATCTATAAAAATCATTAAAAAAATATAAAAATAAATTATTAATCAATCTAATATTGAACAATAAAGTTTAAACAAAAACCAATTAAAAAAATAAAAAAAAATAACTCAAATCAACTCTAATTGACTTGTCAAAACCAAATTTTGAAATCAAGATAAATTTATAAAAAATAAATTATAAAAATTATAAAATTTAATAATTTTAAATTTTAAAGAACAGAATTTGAAAAAGAAAAAGAAAAAAAGTAAAAGAAAGAAAGAAGTTGATGATCAAATTCTAAAAATTCAAATAAAATTCCAAGATATGTTAATATGAGACACGGAGCCCGCAATTAAGGACCATGTATCTCTATTGGTTGAGTTGACAAATGACATTCCAACTTCGTTGGCAACCGTTCCATTGCAAAAAAAAAAAAAAAAAGAAAGAAAGAAAAAAAGAGAGGGCAAAGGATCATCCAATACTCAAGCATGAGGTCACGTCATGACCCCACCCCCATTTTTCTTTATTCTGATTCTTAATTCACTGCCCCTATCTCACAAGACTCTGTGACATCGTCTAATGTCTTTCGACCTTTAATTTCCAGGCTTGATTAGCATCCAAGTTGAGCGGTATTGGTGCTCGTGTGCATAGTTTCTTCACGATAACTCTTTTTTTATAGCCTGGAGCAATAAACAAAGGCAATGCATGCATCGGTTGACGGTATAATCACTCATTTTTCGTCGGAAAACTTTAAATCATTTATTCCCAAAGTAGATAAGACTTGGTTGAACAACCCTGTTAAACCTCTAATGGCTATGACGAGAGCTTCAAGTATTTCTATCGTGATTATGGACTTCAGTTGACTTGTCCCGTTATGATTTTATTAGTTTCGTTAAGGATCGACATCAACAAGTTTTTAGATTAATGGGATATGATTCACATGCTTGACTGGTGATACGGCAAGCTGACTCCATAAAGGCAGAGTGGGTGAGCTGATCATCCACCGTTTGCCTAAACTGGAGAAGTAGTTTGGCGTAATAATATATATGTCAGTATATCTAGTCGTTTGATGTCTTAATTACTGCAGATAGTGGGGCTCCAAAATCCGTTTCAATCGTCATCTGTTTTTTCTCTTAAGCTAACGGTGCCGACATTCATAAGTTCAAACCCAGAAATCAACCGCTTGTTTTGCAGGAGATAGAATTGCTGAGATGAACTCCCAGAGGTCACTCCAAGCTGGATGATAATTACTGAAGAAATTAGTATAAAAGAAAAGGAGTCCATTAACAACTGGGAAATCCAAGTGGAGACTTGTGTTTTAATTGACTTGTGAAATGATCAATTTCAAGCCCATTGTTTTTACATCACCACTTGAAGTTTGGATTTCAATTTTTCACAGCCCTTTTGCCACTATCAAGCATGATTTTTCAAAATTGTGATGTAAAGGGTGTTATAATTGTAAGTGTAAACCCAGTTCACATGATATCACCGATTCATAAATCACGCTAATCATCATAGGCAATTCGTCGACTATATGAAGATTTAAAGTTTAAACATTATTGCTCATTATATTGCTCCTGCTCCTCGTAAAATATTATTGTGCACACATTGAGGTTTCATGTAAGCACTTAAGAATAAATAATTAGTATCAATTAAAAAACAAAAAATGGTTATTATTACGATCGTGTGAGGAATTCCCTTAACAAGCGCCTAACCATAAAAACCATAAGGGGCATCCCGCCACTCTTCCTAACCTGTCATCCCGTGTTCTTATTATAACTTCACCCCTCAGCAAATCCCATTTCTCCCTGTGTCAACTCCTTCCCGCCAACTCCTTCCTTCCCAATCCATACACACTTCTCTGCCCCTCTCCCAGCACCATAACAAATTAAGACCATGAAAACACAATTCTCCAAAACCTCTATCAATGGCAGTGACCAAATTCTCCTCCTCCTCTCCCCACCGAAACTCTCCGTGAAGCCGCTGTAATCCTCTCAACTCCGCCAACCTATCAATGTCACTAATCCTCCCATTAGTCTCCGATTCTTTAATTCTACACTCCTTGT